AAGGTAACTTGTACCATGGTATAACGAAATGATATCTAGGAACGAGAAACATCGACCTTTCACCATATCCCCCGGCCGTTTACACCGCCCGTCCACCTAGGACAGGGTAAACCCACAACATGTGGGTTAGGGGGGTATGGCAATCATACTTTATAGAACTATTTGAAAGGTTACATATATTATAAAAAAATCGAATTAATTGGCCGCAACGAAAAATTAAAAAGAAAAGGGTCGCCAACCTACTGGGCGAGACAATGTATTGTAGGACCATAGTAGGATTTTAAAAAGAATTTAAATTTTGTACATTAAAAAACAATTTTAAAATAAATAGAAAAGTATTAAAGGTTGAAGTCGATGTCTGTTGAGTCGTTGATAGAAGATGTACACCAAAACCTCGTGACAGTTGTCACATAACCATATTAATGAGGGATGACCTTATACAAGGCCGTTGCCCGTACCTTATACACTAAGGGGAGTTGATTTTTGAAAGGAAAAAAGATGAAATATTACACGTGTCTATTGAAGATGGAACACGCAGAAAAAAAGTAAGCTGATAGTTAAGTTAAATTAAGGGGAATTTATAAAAAAAAAAAAATTAAGTTAATACGAGGCAAAAAACCGAACGGTCAAAAAACCTAGTCTACAAATTAAAGGGGAACAGAGAGAGAAGAAAAACAGATATTAATAAAAGAAATACTAGTTACACCTACACTTATACAATTAGATAATACGATGAATGTCTTTGGGTACCCACCGGCTATTAATCGCGGTATTACCGCCAAGCACGGCGGGTATACGCCCCAAGCGACTGGTTTTAGGCAGTCAGACTTAGCTTGCAAGACGTTGGGACACCCCAGAAAAAAATGCACTTCGTCACCACATTGTACTAATGATATATATGAATCACTCAATATCATTTCATATAAAACCTATATAAAAAAAAAAAATCATACAAAAAATATATGTAACATGACATGTGGTACTGTAACACGCCTATCATGTTGATGGACCTAAATAATAACAGAGACTTCTACAAAAAAAACTTAATAAAATAAAAAAAAATCGCTACACGTGCTTATGGCACGACGCACTAAAAAAATATATATATATGTTTGGCTCAAAACATAAATAATAAATTATACATTACCAGCCCCGAATGGCTAAAGAAACCGGAAGCAAGTTCAGCCGACGCCAATATACAAAGGAAATTTACAAATTATAAGTTATAGTAGCGGAAACTCACTAAACAAAAATTTCAATGTTGCAGCGCACACAACAACAACAAAAAAATCACGCTCCGGACGAAAATTAACCGACAACCAGTTCCGGTAATGGCTAATTTCCGACAAAACTTCCGTCGTTTGACATGGCGGTCCGTTGGCGACAACATGGCTGCCTTTGGAATAGGGGTCAAAAAAAAAAACTTAATACACGGTGCCGGAAATTACTAAGAACAATTTAAATCATAAGGCGACTATGTATTCGGTGAGCAGTGCAAATGATGTTCAAGATAGGAAAGGAGCGGGGTGAATGTACACAAAAATGCCGACCATGAACCGGTCCGAAGTAGTACACAGCTGACTATCTTGCACGCGCACAAACGAATCACAACATTTTCATCAATAACTATCGTTCATTAACAAAAAGAACAATAAGTTGCCTGTATCATCCCAGTTATTTTCAATACTTTCCACTAGTTGTTGGTTCATATTACATGTTACGTTTTTTAAGTGGACTGTATAAAACGGTTCGAAATTACTTTTAATTATCTAATTAATAAAAAACGATATAAACTTGTACCTTTAACTTAGTTTATTACTTTACTTTATATACACATGTTTGGCGTGCACGTCGTGCTGTCCTTTTCGTTGACGAGACATCGTTCGACTATTTATTACAATAACGAAAAAACCGGTACGCACCGGATAAACGCGCTTATCACTATACTACATTCAAATAAAAAAAAAACAAACTATGGATCGAACACGCAGGCCACCTTGAAATAACAAATTTCAAAATGACTTATTGAATAAAAAAAATACATAAAGTATACAGTTTAAGATAAATTTTAACAACCCTAAACATAGCTATTTTTGATAAAGATAAAAATAATTTAAAGTAATAGTAATATTTTAACTACAAATATAATCATTTTGTGTAAAAAAAAAAAATAATAATAATAATAATAAAAACAAAATTAATTAATTAAACAATCTAACCAAAATGAAAAAGCGGTATTATAAATATTACTAAATCATCGACAGTAAAAATTTTCAGAATAAATTGACAACAAACAGATAATAACAACATATTTTTACAAATTTGGACTAACTACTGGGATGAAAACTTCTGGAGATGAGTTATTACCCTNGTTTCTTTCATGGAATGATAGGTCTTGCTGGAACCAGGTGACTGATAATTTTCGTCTACGTTTCAAATCGGGTACCAAAAACTCATTCAACATCAAACGATATCGCTCGCCGTCAACTGTTCCATCGAACACGTATGGCCCACGACACCATATTGGGTGACACCCATCAAATCGGTATTTTTTTAAACGCATTACAACTTTCCTCAAAGTTTTTTTATTCATATATTCACTGTATATCGCGATGGAACCACACTTTTTCCGTCAATATTAAAATTTTTACGAAACTCTCGAATTGCACTCACGTAAGAGTCATTATTCTTATAATAAGCTTTTACAATAAACGCACGATGAGCACCTGTCCACTGCTCCATTATAATAAAATCGCAATGAAACATAATTAGGCATCGTCTAGTTATCTGGAACCGGATTTACCGTTCCCCTATATTGTTTTGAACAAAAGTTATTTATAAACAAAATGTGAAAGGTTATTGGGCCACCTTGTAATTGAAGTTTACACACAGCTACTGTACATTAATTAATAAAGAACATCGTAGACCTTAATATTGTAACGTACACATTATTCGTCCTTCACCAACATTAGCATTTCAATACCACACTAATGCCTGATCAGCACAAACGTCCCTACGACCTACTACAGATATGCGGCACGAGCGGGTGTAAACAAAACCTATGATATTCTTTTTCATTAAAGAAATATATAACGACAGTCAGTCGACATTTTACCACGCTCGCGGCTACTCATTTTTTATTACAGATTATACTTTATTTACAACAACCTAATTCCGACAATATTACATTTTACTATTAATTTAATTAATAGATTTATTTTATTACAATCGGATTGTGTACGCTCGCCGATGTCGCTCACCTAACTTGGATACCACAACATCTCTAGAGATCCAGTCAGGTTATATTTAAATATACTATTAAATAGAAATAAATGTTTGTTATCGTTGTTAGTTAAGAGTCTATATTTATTGGTCACGAAACCGCTAACCGCCCTTCTAGTGGAATATAAATTATATAGGGCCAGCATTGCCCCGTTAAGGTACAGCTTAGCCAACTGTTAGAATCCTAGCGGGAAAGCACGTTGCAATATAATAAAGTATAAAACACGATTTTAAATAATATTAACTTGTATCGTGATATAGAGTATAACCCTAGACTATAGTCATGTGGAATTATCAGTAGGCATTTTATACACGCAAAACGTGAGTAACTAGGTATTGTTAAACAAAGCAGCTATAAACAGCTATTGTCAAAATGGCTTTCCAGTGTATTTTATAATAATAATTTTATTGAGTAGTTAGTAAAGTTAGGAAATTAAAATTTATGTATAATTTTGTTATACCTTAAGTGTGATACGGCTACGGCCTTGTCACACATTTGACTCCCGAGGTCGTGTCAGCTCCTTCGCAGCCACCGCTCCACTGTAAACCGGACCGTTACACACAAGCGTTATCGTCGTGGTGTAAAGTCCAATAAATGCCTAGTGTCGAATACCCGCCGCAATAATACGCCCAAGCAGTCAACTTCATCACACCTAAATCGTTTGTTTCACAGTCCGTCAACCCAACCGAACCGTCACCGCAGTTTCGATCATTTTTGACATTCTGTCGACAGATCCATTTTAGTATTATTATTCAATAATTAGTATTATTGTTACTTTTGGTTTTCTTTTATTCTTTTGTGTTACCATTCTTTTACTATTAAACGGCTCGACGCCACTTGGAAAACTAACCCAGTATTGTCTATTTTATTCGCCACCTATTTTTTCCGTATCAAGTGATATAACGATTGTTACGTCGCTACAAAGGAGTTGAGCCTAAATGCCCATCGACAGTGTTCTAAGGAACCAACGGAGGATAGCTGGCTAGGGTATATCTACTTTAGGTACTGAAGTTTCCTATTTAATTTATATTCTCTTAGAGGAACTACCAAGGGTCGTACTACAATATATATAACACTTTTAGTTAACAACGATATAAATAAATATTTATTAAGTGATCGAAATATTAAATAGATAATACAACCTGCTGGATACCTACAGATGATATAATCCAACAGGGAGCTGACGGCCCCACACACACACATACAAACACTATATACGAGGTAGAAAGTTAAGTAAATTATCAGACAAAGTAGTGATCGCAATGATGGTAAAAGGTCAACTGTCGATAGGGATATCTTATTGTGGCACATTGGCCGTGAATAGCAAGTGTTTATGTGTGCAGTCCGCCCTCCTGTTAGTATTGTTGTAGTATGTATAGTATGTCACTGTGTCAATTATATATATATATATATATGTCTATCAAACGGTACAATGATGTTATGGGAGACAGAGATATGGGCACATGCAAATGTGATCGTATCACGGATAAACAATAAAAAGATAATTTCAATTTTTGAAATTAAATTAAAATCTACTTGTAACTGTGATTACGATAATAAAGTTCATTCGCTATCTGTAGCTGTAAATAAAATAAACTATTTAGCACCTAAGAAATGTTTATTCTTATTATGTTGCCATAGTGATTAACAGTTAGTAAACTTTAATAAATATCATTAAAAAAATTAAAGAATAAAAGCTAAGATTTCTCATTAAAAATTTATCATGGAAGTTGACTCAATACATGAAATAAATCATGAAGAACTATTTCAAGATTGTATCGACACAAATATTAAAGATTTTGATGATATTATTCAAGAAAAGTAAATTGTTTTATTTTTATACATTACATTATATACTTATAATATGTTATGCGAGACAATAAAATTTTATTTTTACTAATACTTGGCAATAAATAAAAAATAATTCAGAAAATTTATTCAAAATAATTCTCTGCATATGTTTAAAAGCTAAAGTTATTCATTTCATTAAATAAATTCATAGAATAAAAATATTGCCATATAATTACTATCAATTCATATAAATTGATTATCTCAATTATTTAAAATTAATATTTTTTAGTGAATTACGCAATAATATCACCTTTAAGAAAAATAATTCTCCTAATTGGATAGTTGCCTCATTGAATGGTGTTTTTATGTGGATACAAAAACATTTAAACAGATTTTTCAAATTTGATCAAAATTTGTCAACTAAACAGCTTAAAAATCAAATAAATGTAAGCATCTAATAAATTTTTTTTAAATTACTACAACAAATTAATGTTATTTTTAGTTATATAAAAATAATGAGGTATACTGCAAATTTTTATTTGTATCTTCGTGCACTGATTGATTTACATTAACTTTAGATCATTAAATTTAATTATTTTACAAACCGTTATAAAAATTTGCCATCATTTTATGAACCCACATTGATAGAAAAAAAAAACTTTTATCAAAATACAATAAAAAGCTTAGAATCATAAAAAGTAAAACTCGTTAAAAAAATATGAACTTACAGGTAAATTATTTAAAATTAAACCTCATAATAAAGGTGTAATTAAAAATCATGTAGCTGTATTTCTAACTAAATTAATCGAAGGCAAAAGAAATGTTAATATATTTTGTGTCATTTTACTTTTAGAAGTGATCACATCATTTCAATAATTTTTTTTGATATATATATATATATATTTTTTTTTTTATTCAACTCTTTAATTATATATTTTTATTATAGTACTTAATAGCATACTATAAGGATTTTTCCTTTATAATGGAATGAGTATTAGTTTGTGTGTTGTACCAGAGTTAAGTTTTTTTTTCCTCAATGAAAAATAAAAAAAAAATAATAATAAAGTTTATATCCCAGTATTTTAAACTGAACTTATGATTTATATAGCCCTCTCATTTTCTTAATCTAATTTCTCCCGTATTCTAAAATACATAATTATTATACATTCTTTTTTTTTTTTTACATATCATCTTTGTTGTTGATTACTATTATTGCTTCTATACTTTGTTGAATGGCTTCTTGTTTTTTACGGTTAATTTCTAGTTCGCACAATAGTCTTTCCACTTGTTTTGCTAATTTTTTTTTTCTGATTTCTTTGTTTGTGAGTGGGCCAATTCCTCTTGGGTTTTGTTGATTTCTATAAGCTTTTTTCGATTTCTTGTATTTGTTTTGTTGATAAATATCTCACATTAGCGGGCTGTGCCATTTTCTGTTAAGTGTTTGAGTGTATAATTATAGTAAACCAAGTCATGTAGTTCTGCTAAGAGAAGGTAGGTCCTTTCCTCTTTTTCTTTGAATATTTTCATTACCCCATTAACAAAAGGTGACCAGAGACTTTTCGTTAATAGTTGTGTGTATTTTTTAACCAGTATTAATGGTGTCCCTTCTAATTTTATTATTTGATCTTTGTCTAAAATACCTGATATGGCCCCACTTACTAAGACAATGTCATATCTTCTAAACATTCCAAATTCAATATCTATAATATAAAATTTGTAATTCTTGTCCATATTGTAAAAAGTTGTAGTAAAAGTATAAAAGAGTCAGTCGAAAGTTATAAGTTAGTTTAACAAGTTTTACCTCTGAAAAATATAATTTATTAGCTTAAACTAATGTTAGTGTAGTTTGTATATTTCATATGAGCAATAAGTTAATATATGATAAGTATTTAGAATTGTCTCCTTGGAACTGGAGGTGGCACTAAAATCATATCCATTTTTATTATTACAGGATATATTTTGCAACATATAAAAATTATGACCGGTGATAATATTGTCAGCTATGATAGATATATTATATCCCCAAGAAATTCATCTATAAAAGGTTGTGATATTTGTTTTAAAATGATGTCATTAAAGTACTTCTCTGGATTTGGTATTTGTTTTGTAATGTGAAAATTTGGTATTTTATTTACCCAGTCTCTGCCTAAGATCTCTGCTAAGTTTGCAAAATATATTTTTTCACTTTGTTCCTCATGCTGTATTTTAAGTGACTGTACGGACGGATCGCAGTCTCTTAAGGATATTAAAGATATTAAACGGTGTTCGTTGTTAACTGAATTGACTGCGATATAAGTTTTTTCTGAATAGATAAGACATAAAGAATCGTTAAATTTGAAATGAGCAGGTATATATTTGTATAGTTTCCAATCTGCAAAGCTCTCTTGTATAGGAATTTTTATTTTTACTAGTATTTGATTTTCGAAAATTGGCATTCTGTAATAGGTTAATTGTAATACACTTATAAGTTACTTATAGGAATTACTAATGTATAACCATCTTTTTTAATAACTTTTTCAAGTTTTATGAGATCAGTATAAAGGATTTCAGAGTTGATTATTCTAGGTGGAATTTTGTGTAATTTACAGAGCAGATGAGTGCATGAGTCCCTCTCATTGTTAGTTAAACTTATTAAGGCTATTAATATATCACGAACAACCTCCTGAATACCTAAATATTTATTTTCAGTTTTGGTGGTTTCTATTAAGTTGTTATTATTGCTTTCATGTTTAATCAATTCCTTAAATGAGTCTCTTAACATATCAAGTTTTGAATTAGTACTCTTTGCGTAAGAATTTAGTTCCGAGGTTATGTTTGTTAAGTCAGAATAGTCGGAGATAAACGCGTCTTTAAATTTATTAATTTGCTCTTTTAGTGCTACTTCATTAGTACAAAATTGTTTAAGTTGTTTTTCAGTAGTCACATTACAACAAAAATGAAAGAAATTACCAGAAACTTGTACCCCTCTTTTTCCTTTTGTTAATAATATTATTAGTAATTTTATTAAATTTTTCAAAAATGTCTAAATTTTCCTTAATGTTTTTGCCTACTAGTTTTAATATTTTTAGAGACTCGTCCATAATATGACAGTAGTTAGAATCTTTACTTTCACAGTGTTTTTCGATTAAATAATCATTTTGTTCATTTTCATTCGTTTTACTTATCTTTTGGGTATAAATTAAAGGAATACTCTTGTCGTATAAAATTGTACCTGGTATTTCATCGAAGAAGGCGCCAGAAGAAATAGTTACAGCAAGATGTGCTTCAAGTGATTTTTAATTTTTTATTATTAGTAATATAATTGCAAACAGGAATTTCATCTAAATGAAAAAATAGAATAACAATGTGCCCCTATAGTTTTAAAAAAAAATACTGCGACGGCGTTTGTCAGTCAAATAATTATGATAAGGTGTTGTGATTTGTTTATGCGCGTGCGAGATAGTCAACTGTGTACTACTTCAGACCGGTTCATGGACGGCATTTGTGTGTACATTCACCCCGCTCCTTTCCTATCTTGAACGTCATTTGCACTGCTCACCGCATACATTGTCGCCATATGATTTAAATTGTTNACGTCATTTGCACTGCTCACCGCATACATTGTCGCCTTATGATTTAAATTGTTCTTAGTAATTTCCGGCACTGTGTATTAAGTTTTTTTTTTTTTTGAACCCTATTCCAAAGGCAGCCGTGTTGTCGCCAACGGACCACCGGGTCAAACGTCGGACGGGTTGTTGGAAATTAGCCATCGTCGGAAATGGTAGGCTAATTTTCGTCCGTAGCGGTAGTTATTTTTGTTGTGTGCGCTACAACCTTTTTTATATATATATACATTTTTTTTTTTTACGTGAGTGTCGGCTATTTATTATGTAAATTTTTTGTTTATTGGTGTCGGCTAAACCTGCCTCCAGCTTCTTGAGCCCTTAGGGGCTGGTAACGTATACGTTTAGTAGTTAATGTTTTGAGCCAGTTTTTTTTTTATTAGTGCGCCGTGCCATAAGCACGTGTGGCGAATTTTTTTTATAGTTTTTTTTGTATAGGTGCCCTTATTTTTATTTAGGTCCCTCAACATGGCAGGCGTGTCCCAATACCACCTGTCATGTTATATCTATATTTTTTGTACTTTTTTTATAGGTTTTATTGGATGATGAATATGTTATATTAATATTGATTCTCCTGATTTACTATCCCTTATAAATCTTAAAGTTCCTCCTCGCTTGACGCGTTCCAATATCCCCTTCCAAATTCCATTTTCCTCCTCAAATTACTTTCTAAACTCCCCGATAATCCGCTTGATGAAAATCGCTAATACCGACCCTTCCTTTGTTTTACCTTAGCCGAAGTTTCAGTCCCCTTATTTAATAATGTATATTCAATTCCATTTTAGTTTATTGTTATTTCTAATTATTTTATTTTTATTTTTTATTTTTTTCATGTTTAATTAAAATTCATCTTTGTATCAAATATTATGTACATATATTTTGTAATTTTGTTATATTGCAATTTGTCAGTTGTTTTAGTTTAATTAATTATTATATCAGAAGCTTTTAAAATATCTTTGTTAAATTGTAAAATATTGGGCTCGTCCCGTTTTATGAATGAATGAATGAATGAATGAATGTTATTAGTACAATGTGGTGACGTAGTGCATTTTTTTCCGGGGTGTCCCAACGTCTTGCAAGCTAAGTCTAACTGCCTAAAACCAGTCGCTTACTTGGGACGTATACCCGCCGTGCTTGGCGGTAATACCGCGATTAATAGCCGGTGGGTACCCGAAGACGTTCATCGTATTCTCTAACATTAAAAGTGTAGGTGTAACTATTTTTTTTATTAATATCTGTTTTTCTTCTCTCTCTGTTCCCCTTTAATTTGTAGACTAGGTTTTTTGACCGTTCGGTTTTGTGCCTCGTGTTAACTTAATTTGTTTTGTTTTTTTTTTTACTTAATAAATTCCCCTTAATTTAAATTAACCATCATATTCTTTTTTGCGTGTTCCATCTTCAATTCGTTTATAAGGTAAGGGCAACGGCCTTGTATAAGGTCATCCCTCATTAATATGGTTATGTGACAACTGTCACGAGGTTTTGGTGTACATCTACTATCAACGACTCAACGGACATCAACTTTAATATTTATTAATTACATATTTTTTCTAATTGTTTTAATATACAAAAGTTAATTTTTTTTAAATCCTACTGTGGTCTGACAATACACTATCTCGCCCAGTAGGTTGGCGACCCTTTTCTTATAATTTTGTAAAACGCCATGAAAGTTACAAATTTTTCGTTGCGGCCAATTAGTTTGATTTTTTTTTTATATTTGTAACCTTTCAAGTATAAATGCTTATAGTTAATTTTTTATTCTTTGTTATCTGTATCGCGTTCATGGAAAGGTTTGAGTCTTTGTACATGTACTGTGTCAATGACTTCTTGACCATTTAGAATTAAAGCTACTTTATGATTTACATCAGATTTCTTTTCTATTATTTTAAAAGGTCCCCTGTATTTATAAGCTAACTTTTTTGAATTACCTAGTGTTTGAAAATTAAACTTGACAAAGACTTTTTGTCCAGGTAAATAATTTACAGTTTTATGAGTCTTATCGTAGTATTGTTTTTGTTTGTTTTATTCTATTTCTACTAATTTAGGAATTTCATCTCTTATAGATTGTAACTGTTTTAAGGACTCTAACCTGTTAAAGTCCAATTCTTCGGTCCAAATTTTATTATCTAACGACTGAGTAGCTTCTACTCCAAACATAAGATAATATTGTAAATATCCCAACCTTGAGTGATATTGTTATAAGTGTTATTCGCAAACACTACCATTTTATAATATAATGCCCAATTCTTTTGGTTGTTATTAACATAGTGCGTTAAACTATTGCATATTATTTTATTCATCAACTCTCTACTCCCATTACTTTGGGGGTGGTATGCTGAACTAAAACTTTGTTTTATTCCTAGTTTCTCATATACTTATTCTACTTCCTTATTTCTCAATGGAGTCCCTCTGTCGCTAACAAAAATGGAGAAGATACCATAAAATGTTATTATATCCATTAAAAGTCTATTGTGGCTGCTTCATCGGCATTAACTATTGTCTTTGCAAAAGCCATTTTTATCGAATTGCAAGTCGCTACGATCAAATATTTTTTCCCTTTAGATATAGGTAACGGACCTAGATAATCGAAGCAAAGACGAAAAATAGTTTTTGTTGATTTTAACTGAATAGGTTGTAATAGTCCGGATTTTTTACCTGTAGGGTTTTTAATAAGCTGACAAGACATACAAGATTTAATGAATTTAGTTGTGTCCTGTATCATAGTCGGCCAGTAATATTTAGTTTTTAATCGGAGTAAGATTTTACTAATGCCGAAATGTCCGGAAAGAATTGACCGTGATACAATTTTAATACAACATTAACTAAAGTTTTTGATATTATTAATAAATTCTTTATTCCATTATTTGACCACTCTTTGGAAAATAATAATTCATTTTAAAAACAATACTGTCTAGATTTTCTTTTGTATTTTGAGTCATTTTCCCCTTTAATTGCTGAAATTATTCCCCCACAAAATTCATCTTTTAATTGTTCCTCTTTAATTAAGTCAAGATTTAAAGTGTCAAAGTTAATGTTGTCATTATTAACGTTTAACTATATTTACTACAGCTGACATTTCGAGTTCGGTTGTTGAGAAATTTTTCTCGCCACCTTTGAGTTTGCGCGATGCGAAAACTATTGGGTGCCTTTTACCATTAAGGCCTTCTTGTTCTAATATCCCCGAGATCCTTCTAAAGATGCGTCTGTCGTTACAAACACAGGATAATCATCGTTAAAATGAGCTAGTACTGGTGTTGAATTATAACTTGTTTTAAAATATCAAAAGCCTCCTGGTGGTTATCCTCCAAACAAATTTTTTATCTTCTTTTGTTAAGTCCGTTATGGACTGGCATTTTTTCCAAGTGTTTAATGAATTTCCTTTAATAGCTCGTCAAACCGACAAAAGCTCTGACATCTTTTGTTTTATGTGATACCAGAAATTTTTTTATTACTTCAATATTTTTCTCTAACGGCGTAATACCTCTTTCAGAAATTTTGTGTCCTAGTAACTCTATTTCTGAACTAAAAAATGAACATTTATTTGTTTTAAGTTTAAAGTTTGCCTTGTCAAGCCTAACAAGAACTTGCTCTAATCTTCATAAAGCTTCTTCAAAATCCCCTCCAAAACAACATATATCATTTAAGTAGACAATTATTGTTCTTTAAAGGTAATCACTAAAAACATTATTTGTTATTCTTTGAAAAATTGGGCCTGAATTTTTAAAAACTTCGGGAATTCTTTTGAATTGATAATTTCCGAAATCTGTAATAAAACCAGTTTTGTACATGTCTTCTTCTTTTATAAGACACTAAAAATAACTTTGTTGTAAGTCAAAGTTAGAAAAAATTTAGCTCCCTCAAGACTCCTAAAAAGATCTTGTGACCTCGGAATTGGGTATTTATCACTAATATCTAGTTCATTAAATTTTCAATAGTCTACTAGAAATCTACATCCTCCCGTTTTATTTTCTCGTGTCACATCAATCTTTACTTGCTTTCTTGTTTTAAGTGCTATTGTTACATCATAAGAAGAAATTAGTTTGTTTGTACACTTTTCCTTAAGGTTAAGACTATAATTTACAACTGAGCCCTACAATTACATATGCATTAATGAAATATGAATAATTATTTATTTTTAGTTCTAAGTCTAGAATTTATTTAAGAAACGTATTAAACTCAAAGTCAAAAAGGTAATATCAAAATGTAACACAAAACAAAATTAAATCGCACAAAGACACTCGCGTCCAACTTCTTGACATGTAACTCGACGTTTCTTCGACAAAACGTCCAGTCTCGTCCAGCCCCCGTCCCCTTATAATTTTCATGTTTCCCTTTTATAATCTTTTTCCCACCATTATTAATTTGCATACCCTGCATTTCCCATTTATATGGAATTATTATATTGCTTAAGAGTTCCAAAATTGCTTACTACTATTGTAAAGCTTATATTATACTAAAATCGACATATTTCAATACTTCCTCAGCTAATAATTACACTACCCTATGTTACAAAAAGAAAGTATAACTTACTGCTAAACTATTTAAAATTAAACCTTATAATAAAGGTGTAATTTAAAATCATGTAGCTGTATTTTTTAATAGTATTTATTTTTTGTTAAGCTTGAAACTTCTAGTAAAATGTCTCAATTAAAGATATTAGATGATATAATACACTAATATGTACACAACAATAAATATATGAATTAAATTTTTTTTAATAATAAAAATTATATTTATACTTATTATATTTTCTGGATGACTTGAAATTATGTTTAACCCTTACTAAAAAGGAGCTAGAAAAAACACTTACCAAAACAATACAGGAAAACCAATCTAGCCAACAAAAGAAGCAACTAGAAGTTAGTATTTTTTAAAAATAAATAATATGTTTTACAATAATTGAATATTAATATTTTTTTAATTATTCTTAAATGCATTGTATTACAATTTATATATTATGTATATTTATAGTATAATTTATATATAAATATTTTTTTACTAATATGTTCAACATATTATATATTAACAATAGAAGATAAAAATATTGAGGTATACAGAAAATTGTTATTTGTATCTTCTTGCACTAATTATTTTACATTAACTTTAGATCACTAAATTAAATGATTTGAACAACTATCTTAAAAATGTGCTTTCAACAAATGCATCCGAATTGGATGAAAAAGAAGACATTTATAAAAATATAATAAAAAGCTTAGATAAAAAAAATGTAAAACTCAATGAAGAAAATATTAGCTTACAGGTAAATTTTTTAAAATTAAACCTTATATATAAGTATAATTAAAAATCATGTAGCTGTATTTCTTAATAGTATTTATTTATTTGTTAAGCTTGAAACTGCAAGTAAAATGTCTGAAATGAAGATATTAAAAGATAAAATACATGACTTTCAGTCTAAAGAACAGGTATAATGTTTATCAGTAAACACCTATCTTCACTACATATAGGGATGGCAAATATTGACACAATATCGATATTAAACAGTATTATATTTTGTTTATAGCTTTTCAAATATTATTTATAGAGCTCGGTTTAATATTGAGATATCAGTATTGCTAACAAAAATATCAATATTTAAGGAGAAACTATTTTAATCCTATATCATTTACACCATTATAACATGTTGGTTAGAAAAATTTAAAATCATATTTTTTAATGAACATTAATAATAGGAATTTTAATAATAATAATAATAAATTTTTACCTATTCAAAACGCACTTACAATGTGCAATTTTTATAGGATTTTTAAGTCTGGGTGTTAGGTCCGACTATAGTTATCAACATATACGTGGACGGTCGTTGACCACCACTTTTAATTAAGTCTGTCGGCGACGTGCCTGCTTAGCATAGAGTTGTAATTTAAATGAATAAAAATTGATCTGTTAACTTTTATAGTGTTACTTAAAATTTAAAAATAATAAAACCCCAAAAATCTGTTCAACTAGAAAAATGACCTACAGTCCACAACATGGTCCTTCGGACACGGATTTTTGGTTAATAATTAACGAAAAATTTTAATTTTAAGTGCAAAAATAATAAATACGTAAAATAGTGCAACGTGCCATTTGGATTACCAAAAGTTTACCCTTTCAAGAAAATGGATAAAATTCAAAAAGCCAGTCGCAAGGTAGAAAAATTTAAATATATTATTTTTATTAATAAATTTATTCCAAAATTTCCTAAAAGAAATAAAAGAATATATTGTAAGTTTTTAAATAGTATTGTAAGGTCATTTTTTTATATTGATTTTTACCCGGTTAATAGTTATGTTTATTAGGTGAGAATAGTAATAAATCGGCGCGTATACTTTACGCGGAAAGTATATATATTTATAGGTGCGTTTAAAAGGTTATTATAACACCTCGTATGTGGGGATAGGATACTGTAGTTAATTATAATAACAGAGTAGAAGTTACATTGCTGAATATCAGCTGTTAATAGTATTAAACTTCACAGCGCGTTCTCACTTACCTTCGACATGAGGGAAACGAGCATTACTCTTGCGCAGCGCAGAGGACAATTAAAAACATCTTTAGTAAAATTCGAAAAATATTTGAGTAGCGGAAAGGTCTCAATAGAGCAAATACCATTTCGGATAGAAAAAATAGAGGCTGTCTGGTCAGAGTTCGAAGTTATTCAAGGAGCTATAGAGCTCGAAGAAGAGGTAAACATGGAGAAACAAGATATATATATAGAGAGGAATGTGAAGAATTATTTTTTAAAACATTAGCCAAATCAAATAAATTAATCGGTAGAGTAAGTTTGTCAAAGGTCGAAAATAGAGATATCAAAGAAAATCAATATAGTTGTCAGCAAAGTTCTTGTGGTCAAACAAATAAATGTATTTCTCACGTTAAATTAGCTCCTATAAGTATTCCAGTATTTACTGTCGAATACAGTCAATGGATACCTTTTTATGATTTATTTTCTAAACTTAAACATGTTAATGCGGATCTATCGGATATTCAGAAATTTTGCTATTTGCGCTCATCTTTATCAGGAGAGGATGCAAATATTATTAAAAGTTTAGAAACAACAGCGAATAATTATGAAATCGCGTGGATAATGTTAAAAGAGAGATATGACAATAATAAGTTAATAATTCAAACCCACGTGAAAGCTATTTTTGAGCTAGGAATGGTGCATCAAGAGTCTGCGGGTAAAATAAGAGAATTTTTGAATTCTTTAGTCTGTCGTATTAGTGCATTAAAAATGTTAGAAGAAAAACCTGAAGAATGGGCGCCGATGTTAATGCATTTAATTTGTACTAAGCTTGATAGAAATACGCTAATTAGATGGGAAGCAGAATCACCCCAAGATAGAATAGCACGTGTATCCGAATTTATTGCATTTTTGGAAAATAGTGTAAAAGTATTAGAAGCGGTAGAAGCGTTATTGTTTAAAGTGTTCAAAACCACACAATGTATTTGACACGGCCCGTAATAGCGCACTATTCATTTACCGTGAATCAGCACGTTATCCGGTCGTGATTATCAGCTGTCCACCGTCGCACTCATTAGTGTTGACGATAACACAAGTTTGTCTTATCCGGCGGTCGGTAGATAGGACAGGTCAGGGGGTTTAGCACCGCGAGACACGTCGGCGACTATGTAAACTAGTTCACCTGTGACTTACATCCGCCGTATGTGCCGTGTGATCTTTTCATCAGCGCATTGTCGATTTTTTGTATTTCGCACCTCTGCCACCAGTTTTGTAATATTATATATAAATTAAAATAAAAGTTAATCGACCAGTTAACGGTGTTACATAATTTATTTTATTTATAACACCTTTATACTGTGTCATATTGTTGCATTTAAATACAACTCTAAATCAAGAAATAAAAGTAGATAATAATACTCCAAACGATTATTCAGTAGTCTCAGATAACGTATCAACGAGCGCTATAGCAGCTGCTCAATAACACGAACAAGTGTTGTTGTCAACAGTAGAAGTTTATGCAGGTAATGTTAAAGGTAGAAAAGAAAGATGTAGAATTTTGCTGGATTCTGGTTCACAGTTTAACTTTATAAGTGAATATATGGTACAATTATTAAGGTTGCGTAAATCGTGAGTACACCACAATGTCATTGGCATAGGAGGTACTAAAAAAAATATTACTTCAGCGGTTACAGTAGTAATTACATCGAGCATTAGTTAATTCAAAATAGAAGTACAATGTTTGGTTGTTCCTAAGATAACAGGATTTATTCCGTCGAATAATATAAAAAGTAAATGTTTTATTCCGGAAGGTATTCAATTAGCGGATCCGTCTTTCACAGTACCGCAAAAAATTGACTTATTACTCGGAGCAGGTCACTTTTTTGATGTTTTATGCGCGGGTAAAATTAAACCGTCCGAGGAGGGACCAATATTTCAACAAACGCAGTTAGGTTGGGTAATTGCAGGAGTAGTAAATCCGGGCTGTAGTCAAGCGTATCATTCTATTAGTTATTCGGCAGTGATTGATCACGCAAATCGATTAGAAAATATGTTATCTAAATTTTGGTGTTTGGAAGAAGTTGGAACAGCCGCGCATCTAACGTTAGGAGATAAAAAATGTAAAGAGTTTTTCGAAAATACGGTTAAGCGAGACGATGTCGGTAGATTTATGGTTTATTTACCTTTTAAAGAAGGGGAAAATTATAAATTAGGCGAATCATACGAGATAGCAAAAAAGAGATTTTTAAATATGGAAAGAAAGTTGCAAAAAAACGAAAAGTTAAAAGAGGAATATAGTAAATTTATGAAAGAATACGAAATATTGGGTCATATGCAGAAAATTATTGAAAAGAAACCCATAGTTGGGGACCATATATGTTACTTGCCGCACCACGCTGTATATAATTATATAACACAACAACACGACTTCGTGTGGTATTCGATGCGTCGTGTAAAATGTCATCTGGTAAGTCACTGAATTACGTACTATTAAAAGATCCTGTCTTACAAGACGATATGATTTTTATTTTAATATACGTTTTAGAATACATAGAGTTGCTTTAACTGTAGATATAAAAAAAATGTATCGACAAATTAATTTAGTTCCTGAACATTGTGATTACCAAAGAATATTATGGAGAGAAAATCCAACAATGCCCATAGGAACTTATAAATTAACAACAGTCACATATAGTATGAGTCCTTCGTCGTTTTTAGCAACTGCTTGTTTACGTACTTTAGCAAGTCAGGAAGAAAATTATTATCCATCAGCTTGTTCTGAAATAAAAAATAAGTTTTTCATGGACGACTATTTAGGAGGCACAGATACTATCGAATCAGCTGTTCAATTACGCGATTATCTTATCTGTATATTTCAACGAGCCAGTATGTCGCTGTATAAGTGGTTATCTAATAAAAACACAGTTGTAAACGACACGGTTTAAAATAAAAATAACGAACGTGCATTTGAATCAACGATAACAAAAACACTTGGTCTAACGTGGGACCCCGCTAATGATATGTTTATATTTAAAATAAATGTAAACATTTACCCGGAAAATGATTTAACTTAAAGGAAAATATTATCTGAGATAGCCAGTATTTATTATCCGTTGGTCTTTTAGGACTTGTAATAATAAGAGCCAAACTCTTCTAAATTACAACTCAAAGAGTTGTAATTTAAACGAATAAAAATTGGTATATTAACCTTCATAGTGTTACTTAAAATTTAAAAATAATAAAACCCCAAAAATCTGTTCAACCAGAAAAATGACATACAGTCACAACACTGGGCATCACTCATATTGATATGAAATTGATATTTATTCTTGAATAAATAATGAACAATAATGATAAGTTTATATATCTTTCTATTTCCCGAATTTAACATGCTACAAAGGGTTTAATTTTTTTTATATAACCTCATAACTTAAATTTATTTAATCTATTATTGGAGACTTATATGACTTGTACTTTATAATTTAATTTCAAATAATTAAAATAGAATTATTTAAATTAAAAAAAAGTAATATTTAAACAAAAATAAGTAGACAAATTAATTGAAAAAATAAATCAAAATAATAAATATTTAATACTTTTTATAAAATAAAAATATAACCATTTATAAATTATTTAAGACTTTTGAAAACCAATCTGCTTCACTTAAAGAACTTATGAAGACAAGCTTAAATAAATGTTTTACCGTCAATCTTTTTCTTGCTTTAGATATTCTTTGACCAGTTTTTTAAAAACAAACGTTCTGATGGAACAGAGGTTGTGACAATACTTAATTTTTGACGAGCAATGTAATATAATTTTGGGTATAAGAACTTTATGTTTTTGACTTAATGTAGCTAGAGGAAAGTCATTAAATATTTCTAGATTCTTTAAACGCTTGTCAAGTTCAAATATATACTTTTTTAATTCAATACCAATTAAAAATGTAGTTTGATAATTATTCGCCACACTATTGATACAATTAATCAATGGTAAAATTGTACTAATTATGGTATATTTTTTAACAGAGATTTTTTTTGTCAAGTCCTTAAGTGGTTGCATCAAATTTTTAACTTCTTTGACAATCAATATTTCTCTAGTTATTATTAAACCAGGTTCATTTGGCCTTTCTAATAAAATAGTAGAAATAACTCGATACAAATGTAAAAATCAATCCATCATATAATATAGACTATTCCAACGAGTCTTGATGTCCAATATTAATTTTAAAACTTTTCCTTCTGGTAAACCTGGAATACCATATTTTAAAACATAATAAACATTACATATTATATTTGCCATAATTTTTTTGGATACTTCTTAATTCATGATTAGCATTAACACTATTTTTTATTAATATTAGAATATTTCTAATTTTGTCATTCAACTGATTTAAATTAATACAATTCTCTAATGCGTTATTAGCTATAGCTATAGCGTTATAGTATGAGCAAAACATGGGATTGTTTTATATATGCCAAATATATCACTAGCTGTTTTTTTTTCAGTTAAAAAAGAACATTTTAAATTTAATGAGAATGTAGTACACAAATGTAATAAATAGACATTACCATTATCAGTTACAATAGCAATAATTTGGTGTTGACTAATTTCCCATTGAGTCATAATAATTTCAAATGCCTCACTAATATTTTCAGATGTATGAGACTTACTTAACTTATGTACACCTAATGTTTAAAAATTTATACATTTTAATTAATAAATACGTAAAAATAAATAATTAGATCATAATAAGTAATTTGAAATAATACCACATATAAATTTAGTGCCTTCTAAAAAGTGTATAGGAATACCAATATAACTTTTCATTTGAAAATCTGTTCAAATATCTGATGTTAGTGTAAAACTATTGTTTTTCTTCAAGTTATTTGAAAACACTTTAAATAGTCATATTTTAAATCCTATTTATTTTATATAGTATTCCTAGATGGAACCGTGTAAAGGGGAGAAGACACTTGTAAAAAAAATGTCTAAATCCACTTCCTTCAACAGTGGGCAATGGTACATTATCCTTGCAAATATAATAAATTAATGCATCGGTTATTTCTGAAATTTTCATTTCTCCTGCTATGGAAATTTACAAATTTAATAAAAGAACCAATTCTAATAATAAAGGGCATGTGTTACTTTTTTCCTAAACTAGTATTTAGTTGGTAAATTATAATAATTTATACATACATACATTCTTAAAGGTAATTTTTTCTTTTCAATTTAAAGCTAAACTTAAGATAAAGTAATTCTACTACTATTTGAATTTTATTTTACTGCAATAAAAAACATTTATAATATGTTAGAATATACTAAAATATTATTAAATTATTCATTTTTTATAAAATTTTTAAAATAAAAATTGATCTTTTTTTAATTTATTACAAATTTTATCCAATTTTATTAGTGAAATGAGTCTTGAGATAAAATCTTAATAAGAGAAAAATAATTTTCAGAATATATTTAAAAACGAGACTATTAACAAACTTTATTCATTAGTTAAATTGATTACCTTTCATTAATGATACATAATTAAAACAGTGCTCAATCAAAGGTTGGCACATTTTTCTTTGGGAGACATCTAACAAAACAGTATCACTAGTTGATGAAGTAGGATTGTCAAATTTCTAAAAAATTAAGATAGAATTATACTTCATATTAATTTCGAAATTAAGTCATGTTAATAGCATATTTATACTCACAATTAACACATTGTCAATCTGGTCAGAATCATGACTATTAATGTTTTAGGATTCATTTATTTTTGAATTTAGTTGGTGTGCATTTTTAAGATGAGAGTGAAGATTACATGTGTTGCCAGACTTTAAACATATTTTATCACACACTTTACATTTAGCAGACAATTTATGGACTTTGTCAAAATGACGCCAAATTTTACTTAATTTACCCATTACAAAACATTACTGATAATCTTTGTAATACAAATTGCACCACTAATTATGGCACTTTGCTACCACGCCAATATGTTTTATCATTGTACAGTATATTTATACAACAAAACATGGAACATAAAATATAATTACCAACAAGCTATAAATAAAAAATACATTAGTATTATTAACAATTTGTTATTATCATTTATATATTACTAATAAATTATTTTATTTTATTAAACATGATAAATATCATTAATTTGAAATAAAAATTATTGTTCATAACTAGATAATTTTAATTAATTGTTAATTTGTAATTTTCGATATATCGTGCCATCCCTAACTATATACTCACTTTATATGTTAAAACAATTAGAATTTAATGAATATTTGTCTTAAAATTGTTATCGACCATTCAAAAAATTTTTTAAGAAAATTATTTTATTATTTTAGAAATTGAATCAACAACTAAGAGATGTTATGAATAAATATAAAATTTTAGAACAAATGTTAAGTGCAACTATTGATATTACTGTAAAATTAGAAGAAGACGGCAGAAAAAAAAATGATGAATTAATATCTTGTGAAAATAAGAACAGTGTTTTAATGGTATTTTTAATTTAACTATTCATATAATATTTAAATAATCTCAGAACATTTTAACATGACTGTCTAAAGCTGCTCGTCTTTTATTCTGTATATTACGATTTTAAGATTAGTATATAAAGTCTAGAATTCATATAATTTATTTTTGAAATAATAGTTGAGTTAAACATCTTAATAAAGGTATGTTTCTAAATATTTTCTTTTTTTTCATCATAAATAAGTTTTATTTAAAAGGCTTTTAAGTTGACCATGGCTGAACAATTTATTTTTGAATTTATGATTCCTAAATATGTAGTCATAAAAATTTTCATTCAAACTTTATTCTTATTTTTAATAATATTCTTTAGTTCTTTTTTTTTTTATATTTAATTGATTTACACAATGGACAAAAAAATAAAATGTTTATAGTACTAAAAAATGTAAGTTTCAATTTAATTTATAAACTTTAGAAACAATTAGAAAGCCAGAATTTAGCTATTGGACACTTAAAACAACAATTAAAAAGTGCAGAAGACGTTCTATTAGATCAAAAGACTCGAGCTGACAAGATAATCAAGTTTTTAAATTGAAGGTGTTTTTATATCTATACTTCATATTTTACTAATTGATTGACATATATATATAGTTAATACTAAAATATTTTAATTGATTATTATCTAATAATAGTATACAAATCAAATATTTTTATTAATACTTTATAACGTTTTTTTTTTAATATGAAATTCTTTTTAACCTCTTATATGAGGTACTTTGATACATAGGTTTATAAGTGACAGTTTTTATTTTCTATAACACAATGTAAATAAAAAATGTTTATCATGATTTTTATGAAATTGTTTTATTAATTGATACTACTTATTTCAGTTTGATTATACTTCTAATTTATATTGTTTTTTAATGTCACTTATACTCCTTGTATTTTTATCATCTCATATATTCTCTACAAGTATATATTATATGAATGTAATATTATTTATTTGATTAAAATATTAATTTTATTTTATTTTTAGGTTTTAGAACTTCAAAAACAACTTAAAAAATATAAACAAAAATACCATAATACTTCAAAAGACTATGAAAATTTTAAAGTAAGTGGAATCCAGGATACTGATTTAAAATAATATCGTTATTAATTTTATTTTATTGGGAAATTTATACATTTTTTTATTTTAGATTAAACTAAAAATACAATTAGAAAAAACAGTAAAAGAAATAAAAATATATAATGCTTCCTTATTAAGTAAATTAAAAAGTGGCATTAAGGTTTTTAAACTTCTAGAAGAATAAAACAAAGTTAATCCAGTTTAATTGTAATAAAATTTTACTATAGATTTTCATTTATAGCTTCATTAAAATATTTTAAAAAAATTCTAGATTACTTTGAAGGAAGACAATGCAAAATTAACAAAAAAAGTAATTTTAATAAATTAAAAAAAATAGACTAATGTTTATTATTATTTTATTTTTAGAAAGCATTACAAAAGGAAGTGATAGATTTTCAAAACTATGCTAAATTTTTAAATAATAAATTCAGCGAAAAAGAAAATACAATGATTTTCTGTAAAACTTAATTCTTAATTTGCCAAAAAAAAATACTATGGATCATCTGTTAAGATTTGATAAGTACCATTTACTTAAATTTGTTTTATTAACTATTTGTATTTATTTTTTACTTTAATTTAAAATGAATATTATTTTGTCTAAGTTTATAATTTATAAATATATAATAAAAATTGATCACTTGTGGATAATTAACTAAATAAAATTAAAACTATATTTAAAATATTATTAATTTAAAAACTAATAAATATGAGACTTAAAAGCCACAAAAAGTTACTAAAAAGTAACGTATTTCAGAAACAATGTTATTATCAACACTAAATATATACCGTATGTGTTGTTTGTAATATTTTTAATATAGTTTTAATGTTATTTAATATAATTTATAAAATTAAATACAAAAATATAAAACACAAATTTTTAATTTTAAACCTCTAATGCTTTAAGAAGAGGTATTATTGGTTTCCCATCTTTTTTGCATTTTTCTATAGTTTTGAACGCATAATCCACAAATTCTTCATTTTCTGTATTACATAATTTTTTATATGTAGCTGAACGTTCAATGTCAGCTTCTTTATCTTTTAATTGTAATGCTACTTTATCAGCCTAAAATTGGTAATGGCATTTAATTAAAACATAACTTTTGTACAATTTCATCAATCAACTCACACACTCTTCATCCAATTCTCTTTTTAACTTTATTATTATATCAGCTAGTATATTCCTACAATATTTTTTTATATTCATATAATATTTGTATCTATACATTTCTTCTTGGTAGTCCGTTATTAACCTTATTTCATTTTCATTAATTTTCTTAAAATTGTTCATATTTTCTTTTCTTTTATTAAACTTCTCTTTTTTATAGCGTTGTTCTTCATGGAACCTAAAAACAAAGTAAATGTAGGATTATAATACACACATTTTAAAAGATCCATTAGTTAAGATATTATTTGAACTATTGATTTTTGTTTATTATTACATAAATCAATATGGTTTAAATGAATCTAGAAAAAATTTGTGTTATTGCTATTGACAATAATACTTCACATCAGTGGCGACTGTAGAAAATATTCAATAAATCTGATTAATTCCTTAGAGTTACATTTTTAAAATCTAGACACGCTTCGATTTTAAAATTACCCCCTGTCGGTTACAAGGATAGTAGGGACAATCGATTTCAGACACATTTCAACATTGTCTGTTTTTTTATTATATTCGGCTAATCCGATTTATTTTATTGTGGCATATTTGAATTATTATTTTCTGTAGATCCGACATATTTTATTATTATTCTCAACAAGTGCGTTGAATAATTTACTTTTTGGCATATATATATATATATATATTATTATTTTCGGCCAGTTTACTACATTACATAATAGCATTTTTGAATTATTTTATTTGAAAACTATGACTTTCTTTTAATGTTAATTTTAATTAAATATTTTATTTGATACTTATGGCTTATTAAACTTTGAGGTAATGCACGATACACGAGGTTAAAAAAATTTTACTTTCTACATAATTTATTTGAAAAATAACTAGTATCGGATTTTATAAAATTGAGTTTGAAACAATATTTGTGGTAAATAAAAACCATGATTATTATTAATTATATTAAAAAAGTATTTAGATGTGGTACTTACCAAATGAAATTTTCAACATAACACAGCACGGATGTTCAGCCCCAATAGATCAAACACAAAATGAATGACACTTTACAGTCAACAGTCGCCACAGCCCCATAAATACCTACGCATTAGGAGAACGTGACAAATTTAAATAAGGGATACTATTCATATATTTCTAATAGTAAATTCCGTTGTATGACATATTATGACTTCATTAAATACGCATTACTCATAAAATAGCAATTGTTACTAATAGAGCCAGCCAGTTAATACTGTTAGACATTCTCTTTAAACATTACATTCGACAAGCACATTTTATCACCAATTTATTCATTAATGGTAAACTTGATTTGTTGCAGCACTAGATCAAGGTCACTTTAAACAGCCGTTACCCTTAGACTAAGATAAATCTTAATTAATTTGAAACGTCCCGCAATAGGCGCAAGTCAGCCAACTTCAACATGCCCTAAATGTATGTTTTTCATTATAAATTACTGGACACTGACTTTTATGAGATGGTCACTGTGTGTTTTTTTTTTTTCGTGTATTCAATTTATATACATTAATTCTTCTAGCATGCATGTTTAACTTAAATTAAGGCACCTATTGTAAATGTATGCAAGTTTTTGACAACGTTTTGGCTACATACATTAGGATAACTTAACTATTTTTAATTGTCAAATATTATACTATCTCTTTTAAAAATCTAACATTTTTTTTTGTGCATGCATTGCTAACGATTATATTCGGTCTCCTCGCAATCCTTTTATATGTCACATAATAAACATTAGCATTCTGAACAGACCTTGAGAACATGGATGGTATTACTTTGGGGCCCCGAGACTATTCAAGAAGTCGACGACAGGGCCGGGCTTCTCATAGGAACCGTTTGGTAGCCGACGATTGAGAGCCCACGTGATGGAAACTCCTTCAAAGCTCAAAAGCTTACGAACTTAGAAGTATGGACATCGAATATCCAGAGGTTCTTACTAAGATGCTTATGTCTCTCCAAATAACTTTATTTTAGATTAAACTTTTTTTAATTATCCCAAATTTTTTTTATTTTGTTAAGGCCTGCGGTCAGACCTAAAATGTAGGGGGAGTAGCTGATACGATCACATTATGTGATCCTATCTCATATTATTATTGTAACGCCGACTAGGCTTATATCGTTGACACAGTGACACATATTACTACAGGAGGGTTGACTGCACACATAAACACCTTTTTAATTCACGACCATAATAATATAATATAATAAACGACAGTTGACTTTTTACCATCATCACGACCATTACTCTAGTCCTATATTTAACTTAACATACCTACCACGTAAATAGTGTATGTGTGTGTATCGCCGTCAGCTCCTTGTTGAATTATATCATCTCTAGGTATCCAGCAAGTTGTACTATTTATTTAATATATATTTACTTAATAAATATTTATATCGTTGTTAACCAAGAGTGTTGTATGTTTGCGTATAATAGCTACTGCCCCAGCGTTGCTACATTAAAGCTCTTCGCCACATACTTAGCTTTCAAATGCATACCATTCAACTTTTTACCTACCGTTAACAAAACGAGAGATTTATTCCCACCTATGTCCCCTACGCACGAAACGAGTAACAACAATTACCCAAGACTGGAATATTATAAGGTAAAAACGATGAATGAAATAGCTGTACATTCAGTATATGTCTTAAAACAATTAACACGTAAAACAATATTTTGTAAAAATTCCAATAATTANACACGTAAAACAATATTTCGTAAAAATTCCAATAATTAAATGTATAATATGAATTGTTAAATTGTTTAATTAAATTGTTCTTCAATTAGGAAAACACTTCACATAAAAATTTTAACTGACCTATTTAGTAATTAGATAGTGTAATTCTATTTTACATCTTCAACAAATTAAAAAGCCACTGATTACAAGACACACGATGTCGTTTGTATTAAACATAAAAATAGTTTTAAACTTAAAAACACATAATACGGCTATTATCGAAATGATATAGAAATTGATAAAAATTTTAAAAATAAAAATGTTCCTATAATTTTTTAATTCATATTATTTATTTTGTCCCTCACACCAATTTATTCCGCTTTCTCCTGATAATATAAATTAGAGATGGGAATTATGGTTCACCTAAGTGATCCGATTCATTCGGATCAGGTCAACTAGAAGATCCGGTTCAAAGACCCGTTCGAGATCTAAAAGATATTTTGAATCAATTGAATCCAACATTAAATATTGTTTTGGTTTTTTACGGTTCTCGATTCGCAAATGGCATGTATGATTCCGGGATTCGAATTAAGGGTGTATCGCTTGAGTAAAGGACATATGATTTTTGTTTAAGGTTANAGGATTCGAATTAAGGGTGTATCACTTGAGTAAAGGACATATGATTTTTGTTTAAGGTTAACAATATAGATTGGTTGAGTCACGATGATATGACAAATGCAATAACTTTTGATGTTTTCAATATTTTTAATACTTATTTTTTTTTTTATAATTATTGAGGTTTTGGACTGTGTTTAAAACATATTTATTATTTTTCCAATAAGAAAAAAATATATGTATTTTTTTTTTTTATTTTTAAATTTAAAAAAATGTACAAAACATCTATTCTTTAGTACTCTTTTTAAATAAAATTTTGATAGGTCGATAATAACTTTTGAGTTTTAATATATTGAGTGGGTATGTAACACGGGTGGTTATAACTTGTACTGGTGTATATTTAAAACGTTTACTCTGACCAAAAAACAAACCCCCCTCTGGGCACCATATATTTATTCTATATACATTTAGTCTACACATTAATAAAAAATATAAGATGTCCATTATATTATATCATTTTTTAAGAAATTTAATGCATTATTATTATAAATTATTGTTAATTATTATATATTAAAAATGTTGTGATTTGTTTGTGCGCGTGCGAGATAGTCAGCTGTGTACTACTTCAGACCGGTTAATGGACGGCATTTGTGTGTACATTCACCCCGCTCCTTTCCTATCTTGAAAGTCATTTGCACTGCTCATAATCTACATTGTCGCCTTATGCTATGTGATGATTCAATCTTTTCTTAATAATTTCCGGCACTGAGTATTAAAATTTGTTGACCCATACACTAAAAGCTAGCCGTGTTGTCGCCGAGTCAAGCGACGGAAGTTATGTGAGAAATTAGCCATTACCGGGACTGGCTGTCGGTTAAATTTCATCCGTAGCATGTGTAAAAATATATTGAAATGAAACTTATAATTCCCAGAGTAATATCTCAAGACTTTATATTTAAACTTTAAGTTAATATCTTAATATAAATGACGGATCGGGGGTTTACTTACACAGTCGAATAATAGGCTAAAAAACAATCTATAAATTTTTACTAATGACACGATTCTTTTAATCATATACAATTCAAATAATTACATATAATACGAACATTAAGTAATAAGAAAAAGGAGTAACATCACCCAGCCACTTGACACTTCTTCGGCCGCGTGATATCGCAATGCTTGAGA